GCCATAAGCTGACTGAGAGTAGATTCAGGCTGGACATCAAAAGGCACTACTTCACGGTCAGGGTGCAGGAGTTGAACATGAGTGCATCTACACATGTGCTTTAATGCACATTAGGCTATTTTAATGCACATTAAAGAATCACAAAAAAGTGCACTTTTGCTAATGTGCATTAAAATAAGCTAACATGCCTTTTTCTAGTACGTTACAATGGAGGCACTAAATGTAATGTGCATTTGCAAAAGTGCATTAATGAAAGTGTAGATGCACCCAGTGGCCATCGAATAGGGGATGGAGGCATGTCCCTTCATAACTAACATTAACTTTAGGATAGGTCTCACTGCAGGTAGCATAGATATCCAAAGCTAGCTTTAACTTAGCTAGCTTGGGTACTAGTAAAGCATCTGGTCACAGTAGCAGGGAGCTAAATATGAGCTAATTTACCCTGATTCCTGGGCAGGCTTTTCCACTCATGATGTGGTCCTTTGATGCATTCAACTGCCTCTCAGATCTCATGTGTGATATATAAACTCCCTGGGGCACCAAGGGCCAGATCTGTTGTGTCTTATACAATACTTGGTACACCTGGGTTCTGAGCTATCACTGGAGCCCCTGTGTTCTTCCTCAGTAAAAGGCATCACTGCACTGACATGAAGGTATGGCTGGGATAAATGGGACTCATTTGCTTTTGTTTAAAGCCATGCTGTCATTTGATGTCAGCCAAGGGGATGAAGAATATGGTGCTTTCATAGTTTAGTGCCTGCCACCCAGAGATGGCTGAGATTGCTTTCCCATCCCTAATCTTTGCTGGTCAGGACAGGGCTTCCGCAGCTATAACCACTTCTTGAAATACCACACCAAGATCTTTCACCATGTACAACAAAATCTTGCCAATGCCTGTATTAACCCTATCTCTTCATTGCTAAGGAACAAACTCAGTTCCCCAGGGGGATTTGCTGGTATGCAAATATTCAGGCCATAATTTTTCTGTGTTAATTTGTAAATTATATAAGCATGCTTGTAAATCTGGGCTGGTGACAGTACAGGCCTGGACTTTAGTGTCTTGCTACTGAAATGACACTCAGATCCTTGCTACAGGTAGAGGATTGGTTCTAACATGAAACAAACCAGCTGTACAGGTGCAACTGCCACTGCTAGGCTCTTCTCTGCAGGTAGGGAAGAGGCAGGAATTAGGAGGGGAGGAGGGGGAAGCAAATGAACTTCTGTGAATAAGGAATTTCTCTTCATGTAATTGCATGTGATGAGCACTACATCAGGGAAGGGCTTGGATGATCCTGGTAGACTTCTCTTCTTTAAGAATGTGTGCATGCATGTGCGGGTTCCAGGAGGCATAGCAGCTCTTCAGCTCCTTTTCTTAGTATGCTAGAGGACATCAGGGTGGCTGGGCACTGTGTGGAATCAAGTCTCTTGGGGGATGACTGCACAGCAGAATGATGCTGCAGACGTAGGCACGCCTGAGCCAGCTTTAGTCTGGCTAACTCAGGTAACAGAAGCACTGCAGATGTGATGGCTTGGGCTCAGTGCAGGCTATCGTCAAAAGCACAAGCTTGATGGAGCCTTGGGTACACACTTTGGTTGATAACCCCGTCCCACCATGCCCCCACTTGTGCCCTCACTGCTGTTGTCACTTGTGCTAGCTACCTTAAAGATCACAGGGGCACATGCAACCCAGCACACTGTGCAGACATACCCTGTGGGTTTGGGGCAGCCAACTGTGTAGTGCCAGGCCAAGCAGATGTACTTGGCCATTCAACAATCCTAAGCCTATGAGCTGGTTTAATAAATGGAACATTTTTTTTCTCTGCCTTTACACAGTCTGCTAAAGGTGGAGGCAAACTGCACACTTAAACTTACTGGTTCAGAGAACTTTGTGAGAATGAGGCTGCATCCACCCCCCACATCTGGAGGACTGCACAGCCCTGTGCAACATGCCTCTCCAGTTACTGGGAGATGTTTTGCACGTGCCTGCTAGGATGTTCACCAGCCTGTACAAACACTAAATCATTGTGTGCTCCCTGCATCACTGGGAAATGCCACCAGGTCTCCACCCCTCTCCTGCCTAGGTTCCTACAGGAGGGCTAACATCACCCATGCACTTGTCCCAAGTTCTCCTCCTCTCGTGCTTGGCCTGTAGGACAGCTTTAATTGGTTACTTGTCTGCCTGGCTCGCAGCTTTTGCTCAGTGTTTGGCTGCTAATTGGCTTCATACTGGGGGTGTTTCATTATGCTCCTGATTGGCTGCGCTTGTGAGAGTTTGCTGATTCAATTGGCTAAGGCGCTCCAGGCCCTAGCTCTCCTCCTGTCTGCTGGGGTGTGGGCTGGCTTGATTGATGGGATAGGCTCTGCACTGTGGGGTGGGCAGTGCCTGTGCTGAGTGCAGGGAATATTCTCCTGCCTTTGCTGCTGGTTTACTTACAGCAGGTCCTGCTGTGTATAGGATATTCACTGAGATTCACCCCCACCCCTTCCCCAAACTATCCCTGTTTTTCCTCTTCAGCCCTTTCCTCCCTCCTAGACTAACCTGCCCCTGCCTGGACCAGCCCTGATCCCTTCCCACCTCATCAGCACCCTGCAGTTGGGCATCTGTCACACCGTCTGTCTGTCTGTGGGACAGGTGAGTTCTTTTGCTCTCCCCACATTTTGTTCTCTTAGCTGGACGTGGCTGTGTGGCAGGGCAGCACAGAGGTGGTGGTGGTGGTGGGACTGGCATCTTGGCTCGGTGAGATCTCAGCTCTTGGATGAGTCTTTCCTAAAGCATTAACTTTCAGTGCCCTGTGTTAGGAGGGGTGAAAGCTGCTGCTATGCTGTGCAGGGTACCCTGACATTGTGCTGTGCTCACAGGCATCCCTGTTTATCCAAACTTTATCCTGTTTTGGGCAGGAGCTGTTGTTATTGCCTTGGGTATCTATAGTGTCAGCGTACAGTGGTTTTTTAGAGTTTACAAAGGAGATAGTCACAGCCTGTGCAATCTGTGTTGTGTCTTCAACAAGGGTGTGTGCTCTGCCTGAGGGAATCAGGGAATCTGACAAATAGAGGAAACTGGTTAATTTATCGAGAGGATAATTCACCACTCTTTAATTCCCAGTTGTTCTGACGCCACACCCCTTACCCCTCCCTGATATCAAATCCTGATATGATACCCAAAATTTCACTGTTACTCATATTTCCTAGAGTGGTGAATCAACCAGAGTTTACTGTACAATCTTTTTCCCTCTCCTTTGGGAGCAAGTCTTTGATTCCTGGTGCTGCAACGGTCCTGGGCGGTGCCAGAGAAAGGCATGTCGGCAGAGAGGAGCTACTGCTGTGGCGTGTTTCACGAGCCAGTCCTTCCATGTATTTGTGAAAATAGTGAGGCTGCATAAGCAAATGAGTTGTTCCAATCTCCCCAGCCCAAAAGTGAGGCCTGACATACTCTTAAAGAACCTCAGTGTTGTGTCCCACAACTCTCCTGGGGTGTTCAGCTTTGCAAGATATTGGCGGCCTACTCCCAAGTGACAGTCTGTTTGGAAAGGTGAGAGCTGGGGGACTGTTTGCCCTTCCTCCCCCCTCCCCCCGCCTCCCCCCCAAATGAATCTGAGTGGGAGATGCTGATTTTCTTGGGATTACAGGGAACCACTCAGCAAGGGCTGTCTCTTGGGAAATGTGGTGAATGCAGAAATCAAAGTCTGACTCCATGAAACATGCTGACGTATTTGGCTAAAAGCTGACAAAGCAGGGTCTGCTGCCCTTGTAGTTCGGGTAGGTACACAGACCGAATGAGTGAGTGTGTGCATGCCACTTTCCTGGGTACAGCTGGCGAAATGTATCCCTGCAGGTCAAGGGAAAAGCTTGTGGGATGAGTTGTTTACAACTACTTGCTTCAGGAACATTTCCATAGCTCTCATGCCAGCTGTACTCCATGGCTAGAAAGTGCTATCCTGTAGTGCAGATGCTCAGCCTAAATCCACCAAGTAGTCATTAGTCGCAATCCACTGCAAGGAGAAAAAACAGTTTTGTGTTCCTTGCTCTTGTAACCATGTAAATTGTCCGATGGGAGCCAGAGACTAACGAAGTGCAGTTCTGAGGAGGTGGGAAGGGATCCTGAGGCATCCTTAGAGAACCACTGCCAAAACCTTCCGAGAGATCCAAAAAGCCCCTCAGAACCGTTTCACTGAACGCAAGGCTGCTGCTGACTTCCCCCACCAGGCAGAGTTATTCCTACAGATCTGTGACTGGGAGCTGTCCCGTGCTGCACACAACCTGAAATGGCACCATTGCAAAATGGAGAAGGGTTTCTACATCACCTGCCCAGCTCACAGCCAGTGTGGAACTATTCCATATTGCACACTTTCTGGTGTCTGCTGTGGCCTGTTTTTAAACATGTCCGGTCTCTCGCACAATATCTAACCCTGTCAGTGACTTAAAATGATTTCTTAGCTGGACTCATCTATGTTGCAGGGAAGCATGGGAGTGGTACCGTGGGACTGTTTATAGAGAAAAACACATGGTATGTTATGGATTCAGCTCTCACCTAGGCTTCCCACCCTTAGCCTGATCTGGTGAGCACTCCAGGGGCCATGAACCAGGGCTAATACATTGCTGGCACCTCTGCAGCCACCATATTGTATACTCAGTTCCTGCAACTGGTCTGTATCAGTATGACCATGAATGAGTAATTTGACTGACAAGATCCAGGGTAGGCAGAGCGGTTGCATCTGGTAGCGATGGAGAGAGGGCGCATGGGCTGCATCCTGTCCCAGGAAAGGGTCTGGCTTGGAAATGAGGACTACCTACATTTTGAATTTAACATGTCTAGACTTGGAATTCTGAAGTTAATCCCTTAAATCTGTATTTAGGCACTTAAATCAAAGCTTTGGTGCTGAACACACCTGCAGTGAAACAGGAGAGCAAGAAGTAATCAACCCCTGAGGGGAAAAAAGTCAGCTCCACATGCATTTGACTTTAGGCCCCAGATTTGGGAAGGTTAGCTATGGATACTAATAATATAGCTCCTTGCAGGTATATGGTTAGAGAACAGCTCTCTATCATGCTTGATACACCTTCCAGATCACAAATTGCCCTCCATCCCCCATCGCTCTTTCCACCTATATTTACTCAACAGACTCGTTTGGGGGGAGGGGAAGGTAAATCTAGTGTTGGGTGTGGGCAGAAGGAAGGTGCTGGCATGCTCTGTGCTGCACAAATGCCCTGGAGTTAAGTCAGCCAGAATAATCATTCTCCAACCTCTCCTTATCGCTTTCTTTCACCTGAGTAGAATGACATTTTTCTACTGGACTGATGAGTATTCCTGGGTATTATCCCAATGTCAACAGTAGTTAGCAAATCATTGCAGTGAATGCAGCTGAGACCCTCCTTTCAGACCAGGTTCCCACCCAGTGAGCTCATTCTTGGGACTGTCTCCATGAAAATCTCCAGTTCATCCTGACAGGGCCTCAAGGACAGATGCCAAATGGGGTGCAGATGAGATGCATGGGATGCTGCATAAGCACTGTTCTGTAACTGGTCTGTAGGGCTGCAGTCAGGTGCTCCTCTTCAGCAAACCTGGTGTACCATTTTCATCCATTTAAATAAGTAATTAGGAAACTCTTTACATGCATCTGCCACATTCCCTTGCCCCTTCTGAGTGATCAGCTCAGTTCTTGTCTGCTTGCTAGCAGGGCAGCAGCCCAGCAGGGTGTTCCCACTTTTCAAGCTGCTCTGAGTAGTAGCAGTGGTGCCTTGGGCTGGTGGTTGACCACAGCGGAATGAATTTGTTCTCTTTTTATACAGGGATCCGTACAGGACTGATGGCTGTAAAGCCTCCGCCAGCACTGGTGACTGATAGTCTGAGCATTCAAGACTGGTGTTGGAGATCACATACCCTATGCAGCAGTTTACTCCCCAGGGTTAGGCCACCATTCAACCAGCTTGACCTGAGTGTGATCACATGAGTGGCTTAGTGTTAATATTTGACCTTGTCTTAATCTTATGTGGAAGAGTTGCTAGGAGGTCAGGGTAGGGCACAAGGACTTGCCTGTGAAGTTAACTCCTCTCCCTGCATAAGAAGGCCATGGCTGTGATTTTAAACGTGAATCTGCTTGAAAACATAATAATGGAATAGCAGACTCTGCTTATTTCTCAGTGACTCCATAACAAGTGTACTGTATACTGGGGAAAAGAGGTGTTAAGCTGGCAGCCCATCAGAATTAGCCACAACTCAGGGCCAGACAATACTTTTTCTGCCATCATGGCCAAAGATTTCAAATCCTGCCTGCGGCTACTCCTGAGCTACCCAGAGTGGGGAGCTGCACACTCAAGCAATTCTCAGACGACCCAGCTGGAACTTGGGGCTTTGTCATCATGTCAGTGCAACGCTGATGAATTAGAACTTGAGCACTCAATGGGGCATATCTCTTGGCCTTTGGTTGTTTCCTCAGTGACTGCCCATTGAGGGCACTTGAGTTGCACAAGTGTCACTGAAGGGAGATATCAGCCTGGAGGTGCAATTATGCTAATGTATGAGCCAGAATAGACTCCAGATCCTTCCCTTTGGTTGGGTCAAATCTGCAAGGTCTACAGGAGGCAGACTATAGGACCCTCTCCTGTGGCCAGGGTGGCTTTGTAGGATCCAAGGGAGAAGAAAGAGAAAATAATTTATTTTTGCCACTTCATTCTGCTCCTCTGATCCTAGGCACCACTGGAAATGAGGGATAGAGGAGGAAGGAAAGCTCTGATTATTAAGAAGCTGCCATTTGTGCAGAGGTGCTTTTTAGAGCAGAACTGTACTTTCAGGAGGTGTGACAGGTCAGCCAGGCTGGCTTTGGCTGTGAGAGCGGATGGCCCTGGGGAAATGCTAGAAAATGTCTCTGTAGGTTGTTATATAGACCCAATGGCTGTTCAGCCATTTGGTGTGGTTGATTAGTTTGACTTTTTTTAGAGATGGCCAGAGAGAAATAAGAATGGATTGTCTGAAAGCAACATTCACAATGCTCCCACAAACCCCTGTCCCACCTAGACCCTTCCAACAAATGTAGCATACTCCAGTCTGTTATTGTGGGGGCCAGTTTATGCGCTGCCTTTCTCCCAGGATCTGGGCTAAGTTGATGACTCCTAGCTCTGAGTATTTCAGATGTAAGCCCCAGTGTAGACCCCATGTCAGCCTTTTTTGGGCAGTGGGAACCTGTAGTGCAGCCACCAGGATTTTAGAACAAGTGCCTCAGAGTGACTGAGCTCCCAGCTGCTTAAACTCCATGTGGCTGTAGGAACCCTGTTTTCTACTTAAGTTCTTCAGGAACAATGTGGAAGTAAGACAAGCATTCACTGGCTTAGTAAAAGAATTTCTTAAATTCACAGACTTTACTCTTCAAAAGTACAAAAAAGTAACAGATCTATGAAAAACAGCAAAGTCCTGAGCAGTCCCCTTTAGTTTAATCTCTGCTCTCCCTGGCTATTTGACCGTTTCATACCTGCCCTTTTGCTGATTCCCAGATCTGCATTTTTCAGTATCAGTGCTGAAAGCTCTACTGAAGGTTGTGTTTAAGACAGAAGCTGAAGTACAGCAGGGGTTGCAAAAGCTAGAAAAGACCTAATCCTCAGATTACCACTGCTCCTGCACCAGTGCCCTGCAGTGGCCTG